AAAATACCCAATAATAATTATATATAGAGAAAAAATTTTAATTATTATTCCTATAAATTATTACATTTTTATTTAAATTTTATATTTGAAAACTCAAAAAGTTATATTAAAACTACTCTCTTTGTTCCAAAATATTTGTAGTTTTAGGCATTTTTATTTGGATTAAAAAAAGCAATTAATCACTCTTAAATTTAGCAATAAATATATTTAAAATATCATTTTACCCTTTTCTCTCTACTTCAATTCTTGAGTTTTAGTGGTTCATCTCCCTCAAACTTATTAGTTTCTCTCGTTCAAATATATTGTTAATTTGGGTGGCTTGGAAAAAAATTTTCCACTCATTCTTTAATCTCATTCCGCAAAACTTTTCATTCGAGATTTTGTTCTTTTTTCGTTTCCACAAAAAATTACTTTATACAAGGAACAATTTGATTTCTCTCAACTTGGGGTCAATGAGGAGAAGAAAGAGGTAGAAAACCTAACCCAAATCATATAGGGTGTTTGGGGTCAAGTGGGGTAGATGTAGTTAGTCCCCAAATGCTATAAATCATATCAACAGTATTCAATTGACAAGAAAACAGTTAGAGTTATCTAGATCTGAACTCTTAGTTTCTAGAAATAACTCTTATTTTACTAGAAAATCAAAGATTTTGTCCCCTATGATAGAAAATTGTTTGGTGGGTTGGGTAAACCAATAGTGCATCTGAGAAGAAAATTCTGATTATAAAATTAAAGTGTTCCTATGACAAAAACCAAAATATCAAAACACTTGACCCAAAATCTTAGATCTAAAAAAGTACCATTAAGAAAAAAAACTAAACTAAAAATAGAGATCGCAATAGAGAAGAAGAAGAGGTTGGCAAAAAAGAGAGAGAAATGAACGACAGTACAAAGTTAGCTATTTTTGGCTTTTAATTTTCATATTTATTATGGGTAGATGGGAAGGGTAAAATTGAAAGAGAAAAAGTTAATGCAGCATTGGAATCTTAAAACGTAAGATAATTAGGAAAAAATTTTGGCTTTTAAAACGATTACTCCCTCGTTCCATATTAATAGTCGTTTTAGCTGATTTTATGAGGATTAAAAAAATCAATTAATTACTCTTAATTCTAGGGACAAATGAATTTAAAATACAATTTTACCCTTTTAATGCTTTACCATTTATCAGGGACAAATGCATTCTTTTTTTTTTTTTTAATTCTGATTTTTGTATTTATTATGGGTAAGTAAGAAGGGTGAATTTGGAAGAAAAAAATTAATGTTGTATAAAAATCCTAAAACGACAAATATTTAGAAACAAATTTTAATCTCTAAAACGACAAATAATAAGAAACAGAGAGAGTAATATGTAAAAATCAACATAAAAAGAGTAACCTTAAAAACTTCTACCATCTAATCACAAAATAAATGGTTGTTACCGAAATCAAGAGAAAGGGAGTAACATTAAAAACTTCCTACAATCTAATCACAAAGTAAATGGTTGTTACCAATACAGGAAAATAAAGCGCATATGTAGAGAAGTGTAGGAATTCAGGGAGAATCACTAGCTAGCATTATGGGAAAACCA